GGGGGTTAAATAGGATGTGGTGAATATAATAGCACTGGAAATGGTCTTGAACCCCCGAGGTTTCAAACCGGGACTTCAAATTTTTTCTCTCTGATGGGTTTTAAGCTCCGGGGCTTCAAACCTTCATTTTTTACATTTTAAATACACATTTTCTAAATTTAATACTCCCTCCGTTCCTTAAAAAATTCTCATTTTGACTTTGGGCCAAAATAAGAAAAGTGTAATTTTGGTTGACTTTCCAATTTTGCTCCTGATGCGATGGGTAAAAGTAAGATGTACTAGTTTGGTTATTAGTGAAAAAGTATGATGTGATAGGTAGGGTAGGAAATTGTAGGGGTAGAAGTGGTTTTTTAATAGAAAATGGAAGTGTTTTAGGGAATTGGAAAAAAACAAAAGGGGAAGAGTTTTATGGAACGGAGGGAATATAGTAATTAATTATTTCATTTTATTCATTAAAAAAACAACATATACATTCATTAAGTAAAAGATTACATTCATTCATTAAAAAAATTAGATTCATTAAATAAAAAAATGCATTCATTAAATAAAAAATTACATTTATTAATTAAAAAATTGCATATATTTAATTAAAAAAGTACACGGTGCGATGACGAGAAAAGATGGCGGTGTGGGGTCTCCAACGGCTAAATTTTAGCCTAAAATTTGAGTCAAAAGTCTGACGCTGCAAAACTGACGGTGCAATAACAGGAAAGGGGGGCGTGTTTAACGCCCCCTATGCGTCAAAACCAGCTTAACTCCGGTGGGCGTCAGTGGTATTTCGACTGCTCTAGTGGTGATGTAATTTTACCTAATGACTTTATTCGTTCATGTATTCAACCTTCGATAACCATGATTAATTGTGTCACTTTTGATTGGTTGGTTTGGTTGTCTAGCACTAATATTTCAAGAATTTGAGTACGTGTGTTGGCGGGTTGACTTTGATTAGCATTGGCAGGTAAATAGAAAAAATTTTATTTACGTGGAACGAATTAATAATGATTTTGTAATAGAAACTTTTGATGTGTTAAATGTTTCAAGGACAAATTGTGGTAAAAATTTAATATCAATATATTTTTGAAATATAGTTTTGAAATATAATTTTTTTATAAAAATGTATCTATCTACAAATATAAATATTTATGGTCAAAACGCAACATTAGAGATAGTAAAAAATCAAATGCGAAGAGCATTTTCAGACGGACGGAGGGAGTACATTTCATCACATAAAAAGGCATCTGGAAATCATATATTTCCTCTTTATTAAATTTCCTATCCTACTCTCAAGTCTAATGCTTTTTTGCCAAAGACCTTGTACGTGTGATAAAGAGAATGGTGATGGTAAGCAAATTCGAGTGTGGTTCGGTAGCCACTAGATTAACTACACCTCCCACTGCTTTTTTAGGTACTTCTGGTGTTCCGTTTATAAATTTAATGATTTTCACCTCTCCTCCCCCCCTTAAACCCCATACCTCTGCTCTTCCCCTGACCTCTCACCCCAACCCCATACCTTACCCTCCAAATCTGTCACTATAGGAACCATTAATTTTATAAACGCAACACTAGAGATGTTCCAAAAAGGCAGCGGCAGCGATTCTGTAAGCCAATGCTTTTGGAACTGCTGTGATCAAATCCTTGAACAACCACGAGTGTTTTACGTAGGAGACTTGTAGTTGGAGGTCACAAGTTTGAGTAATTGTGAGAATATTGATTTTTTATTGTTCCAATACCTTGAAAAATTATACATGAACGGAAATTATATTGTAATAAAATTAAATAAACAAAGTAATATTTTTCCGTCATGCTTTGGAAGTTCAAAGACCCACGGTGGGCCATCCTACTTCTAGTTAGTAGATGCTTTTCAAAAATATTTGTGATAAGAGCATTGATAGAACTTTTAGGATTGGATAGAGATTATTGGATTGGATTATAAGACACTTGGGCTGAACCACATTAAAAGATTGAATTCAATCTCAAGAGCTTATATACCGATCATTTTACTCTTGAACTTCCGATGTGGGATACACTTTAACACCCCCCCTCAAGTGGACAACCGAGCCATTTTGAATCTAACTGGTTGACCACTTGCAAATGGACTCTCATCCCCTTGATTTTTTTTAGGGCCAACACCTAAAGGACCACGAGCATCTCGTCCGGATTGTAATAACATATTGCAAACTAAAATAATTCGTTAAACAAAAAAATACATTCACTAAAAAAGTACATTAATGTAGGGACCCAGTAAAAAATTCCCGGTAAAAAAATTATTTTTTTAGTCTTATGGCATTAATGCATGTAATTTTTTGTTTTTTTTAGTGGAGGTACCCACTGCACATATTTCTCTTCTTTCTCCGTTAAACATTTGACGCATACGTGATGAAGCCACAAGGGGCGGTGTTTAGCGCCCCTTTGGTGTTTAAACCAGAAAAAGCGCCATGGGCGTTCGGACCATTTACAATGCCCTAAGAAGACATTAAAGTGGTGCCACCATCTTGATCTCATGTATCACACAAAGACACAACGATAGACCTAGCTGGCAAAAAATGACCCGACCTGTTTTTGACCTGAAACCCGACCTGAAGACACTGAATTTTGAACAAAGGTTTTGATGACCGCACCCAAAGTTGACCGAACCTGAAATGACTCTCTAAAAATGGGTCAAACCTGACCAAACCCGAACCCGACCTGACTGACTCGCTAAAGTAAGAGTATTTCAAAATCATACCCTTTACTACTCGTTTTTAGTGTATAAATTTATATTTTCAAACAAAATTTTAATGATATTGCATAATTATCTTATTTTTTTGTAAAACATAAGCATTTTCTAAATTCCTTATATTGATTTATATATCTAAAAATTATTTCAGAATTTAAAATAAAATAATCTAATAGATTTAATAAATATTTTTTGATATTTTAAATTTATTTAATACAAAATGTAAGTGTTAATTTGAATTTAAAAATTTTAAAAACCAAAGTCATGATCTGTTGGATCGACCTGAACCCGATGACATTGGGTCATAAACATAAAGTTCTCAACCCGAATTGACCTGAACCCGAAATAACTCGAACTTGAAGTGATCGAACCCGACCTGACCGACCGATTTGCAAGCTCTACACAACGACAATAACAATTTGTACATGTGCATAATTGCATACGATATGATCATTCTTGTCTATGTTTGTGTTAAATATATTTACCATATTTATTTATGTTAAGTATATTTAATGTATTTATTATTATATCATTGTATTATTGGTAGTTACCTTTTGTATAGGTTTCCTTACTTATACTCCTACCATGATTAGGAGTCCCATCTTGTATATAAATATGGTTGTACTCCTACAGATTTAATCAATAGAAAATATTCATTTTTCATGGTATCGGAGCCTAGTTCCTAAACCCTAAACTTCTTCTCCGGCTCTCGGCTATGCTTCTCCTCGGCGCTGCTTCCTCTCCCTCGGCGTTACTGCCGCAGCAGCCCACCCTCCCCCTCCGTTGTCCTCCCATCCTCTCTTCCTCATGGACAACTCCGACAAGACGACGGACAAATCTCCTTCTTCCTCCACCACCTCCTCAAATTCTCCCCACTTGGCGTTCACGGCTATATCTAACGTCAAGCTTCACGTTCCCATACAGTTGAGTTTTTCTCAACCCAATTACAAAAAATGGTGCCGTCTCTTCTTGCTCCTTGTTCGCCGGTTCAATCTCCATGGGTTTCTCTCCGGCTCCAAGATCCCCTCTTCCGCCGATGACGACGAATGGTTTCAACTCGATGCTTTGCTTCAAGGATGGATCCTCTCTACGGTGACCGATGAGGTCTCCGACTTGGTCATCTCCTCCACTTCTACGGCCTCCGAGCTTTGGCGGGTTATTCATGATCTCTT